GTCGTGCTGGACAATCGTCATTACTGATTAATAAACTTTTTCTATACTTTGTAGAAGAGAAAAAATAAGAAAATTAGTAGTAGTATTTTCTGATTAGTGATATTATAATGCGAAATAGAAATATGATTAAATTTAAAAAAATAAAAAATCGAACCAGGAATAGATAGATACTGATACTAGTACGAAACAACAAAGGGAGAGAAGAGAGTGGGTCCCATATGAGTGAAAAAGCGAGGGTATCACATCATGTGGAGAAGCTCCTTTTCTTATATTTTTTATTTTTCTTTGGTCGGCGATTTGTTTTTGTTTTAAACAATTTTAATACTATTGCACAAACCATGACTGCACATGAAGAAGAGTTTATGAATGAGTGAGACCATAAGAAGAACATCTTTAGATTTTCTACAGTGTAATATCAATTTCGATTTGTAGAAGACGAATTTGTATACTCTCTCTCAACAAACACTTTCATGGTGTTCCTCTGATTTCAGCTCTAAACGGAGAAGAGAGATACGGTGATGATCGGGTGAGCAGAAATTTATTCCGGCGGAGTTATGGGCAAGTTTGATTGATTTTCTGGGTCGAGAAGAAATCTAATCAGTGAAGTTTCAAAATTTGCGAGTGTGAAGAATCCGATTTAAGAAATGGGAGAAGGAGAAGAAAACGAAGCAGATCCAAATGAGAGATCTTTGGCATTGTCCCCTACTTGGTCTGTTGCTATAGTGTTGACTGTCTTCGTCGTTGTTTCTTTGATCGTTGAGCGCTCCATTTATCGTCTTAGCACTGTGAGTACCGTACCCTCCATTTCAATACTTCTTTGATCATATGATTTTTCTAATCTTCTGGGTTTTGTCATAGTGGTTGAGGAAAACAAAGAGGAAACCTTTGTTTGCTGCGTTGGAGAAGATGAAACAAGGTTTTGTAAATGAAACTTGATGATGATCCTCTCCTTTGTGTGTGTGTTTGGTTTCCTGAATGTTTGGAAATGGTATATTTGTTTTCAGAGTTGATGCTGCTTGGCTTCATATCACTTCTTCTTACAGCTACATCCAGCACAATAGCTAACATTTGTGTCCCTTCGAGTTTCTACAACGACAGATTTGTTCCGTGTACACGTTCTGAGATTGAAGAGGAACTTGAAAACGAGTCAGCTGTCAAGCGGAATCTTTTAACGAAATCCGTTTTTTCCAACATCTTTAGGAGAAGAAGGTTGGAAGGCATTAACCAGGCTACTTGCAGCGAGGTATTTTTCCGTTAATCGAACTTAAATGACTGAAATCTTTAACACTAGCCTTAGAGAATCTGATGGTCGTTTGTTCGGGACTATATCTAATCTCGCAGGGGCATGAGCCGTTTGTTTCATACGAAGGCCTGGAACAGTTGCATCGTTTCATCTTTATAATGGCAGTTACACATGTCACTTACAGCTGCTTGACCATGCTCCTTGCAATCGTCAAGGTACTCTCTTTTTTCCAGCTGAATTTATACTTTTTTAGCTGCTCAACGAATCCTTGTATAAGAATTTCAGTTTCTTTTGTGTTTGATAGTGTGCTGTTTGATCTGGGAAGAACCTCTGTTATTAACAGTTTTGCTTCTCTATCCAGATTCATAGTTGGAGGATCTGGGAAGATGTAGCTCGTATGGACCGACACGATTGCTTAACTGGTGAGTACTAAATGGTTGTGTCCTTGTTCCAAGAAATGACACGATAGGTTCCATCTGCCCATAACAGAATTAAGAGCACAGATGAAGTGCTGTTACTACTTATTCACGGTGGCATTATTTTAAGGCTGTAGACAAGGCTTTAGCATTATGCTGGGGTTGCTCATTGATGTGGTTCAAGACTTTGATTGACCAGTAAAAGTTCATGTCTCAAGTAGGAAAAGACTGATTATTTTTCTTTTCTTTGTGTGGCAGCGGTGACACGGGAAAAAGTATTCCGAAGGCAAACAACATTTGTCCAGTATCATACATCTGCTCCTCTGGCCAAGAATAGATTGCTTGTATGGGTGGTAGGTTTCCACCTTCTTTCGCTAGAATATATGAAGAAAATTCCAACTCTTGAGGTCCTTCTTTATTTTTTTGAATCATGGTTGCAAATTAAAGACGATATGTTTTTCAGAATGGTATATGTTTGTCAAGCTAGGTTGTTGGTTGCCGAGGATTTTACCTTTCTGGAAATCATGGAGTAGATATTATTTGAATAATTGGTTCCAACAGACCAGATGTCTTTGTTTAATGCTTGCAGACATGTTTCTTCCGGCAATTCGGACATTCTGTTGTTCGTTCGGACTATCTTACTCTCCGGAAGGGATTCATTGTGGTGGGTGATAATGCTTGCTCTTTACACTCTCGTATTTGAACTGACTATCAATGACAATAATGTTACAATTATATGTAATTGGTGTTATTTCCTTTTTTTTTTCTTTATGAGCAGAATCACCACCTCACATTAAAGTACGATTTTCACAGCTACATGATTCGTTCAATGGAGGAAGAGTTCCAAAGGATCGTTGGTGTGAGGTGAGCTATCTCAGACCGTAAATAGCAACTTAGATTTATATCTGTCAAGTTCTAAAATGTCTTGTTTTTTACTATTTCACTATGCTAGTTTGTGTATCACAATTCATATTGGATAAATGGATGCATTTGTTATTGACTAAACAATTTTGCTTCAATGATCTTCTGCAGTGGGCCGCTTTGGGGGTTCGTAGTTGCTTTCATGCTCTTTAACATAAAAGGTTTGAGTAAACCAAAATACAGATGATTATTTCTGTATTCCTTTATTTCAATCGTGAGGAATCTTCATATTGAAGATTCAGTTTTAAATCTTGCCTCTTAATACTGCAGGATCGAATCTTTATTTCTGGATAGCAATCATTCCTATTACTGTAAGAACTACATTTCATCATTTCCTGTTTCTGGTTTGAAACATGGCAGCTTCGTTAATTTCATTCCCGTTTTATCAGCTTGTTCTTGTGGTTGGTACCAAGCTGCAACACGTAATAGCAACTTTGGCATTGGAGAATGCCGGTTTAACAGAATATCCTTCCGGAGTGAAGCTGAGACCTCGCGATGAACTTTTCTGGTTCAATAAACCAGAGCTACTCTTATCCCTTATCCACTTTATTCTATTCCAGGTTCGCAAAATCTTTACTAACCTCATTTGCGCCGAAACAATTATTGGGTCTTGGTAAAACTAACAGCTAATTGCTTCCTGTCTTGAACAGAATTCTTTTGAACTGGCTTCGTTCTTCTGGTTCTGGGTATGGAAAATGAACCATATATTACATTTATTTTTCACAGACTTCAAAATTGGGTTTGGAACTAACATTACATTTGTTCTTCATATTTCTTCAGTGGCAGTTCGGATACAACTCTTGCTTCCTTAAGAATCATCTCCTTGTTTACTTTCGACTTATTTTAGGGTAATTAAACCATTGTTTCTTCCTGATTTACTTCGAGACTTTTTTCGCATTTGTTTCACAATTGAATGTAATTAATTTCCTCTTTGTAGGTTTGCTGGACAGTTTCTATGCAGCTACAGCACACTGCCACTATATGCACTGGTCGCTCAGGTAATTGTGAAAGTCCGTTGGAGTTTTCGACTTTTGACAGTTTCCATGAACTCCTTAGAGGATAATGGATTGTTTCATCTGTTTGATTCCAGATGGGAACGAACTATAAAGCGGCTCTGATACCTCAGAGGATAAGAGAGACGATTCGTGGTTGGGGAAAAGCGACCAGAAAGAAAAGAAGACACGGGTATTATGGCGATGATTCAACTGTTAGAACAGAGACAAGCACGGTTGCATCTATTGAAGAATATGACCATCAAGTGCTTGATGTTGTTGAAACTTATCCGGAACAACAACAACAACACACTGAGCTTGAATTACAGCCAATTCAACCTCGTACTGCGTCTGTTTCTGTACCTAATGAATATTCAAGTAGAGTTGGAACACCTCTTCTTCGACCTTGTGCCTCCATTTCTTCGACAACGACAAAAGAGTTAAGAACAGAACATATGGAATCACTCTCGAGATCGGCTTCATTGCCAGTGAGAAGAGAGTGAGATACATTATACACCTATTAAGTTAAACTGATTCAGAGTTCTGAGAAGTGGTTTAGAGGAATATAAGTAAGTTTATAGGAGTAATTTAGTAGAAAAACATAAAGGTCCTCGTATAGGTCCGAGATGTGTCGATGAACATGTACTTTTAGTACAGATGTAGTAATAATTTAAAGGTTTTCACATTCGCAACGGAACAAAAGAAGAGATTACTTCAAATCTTTCAATTCTTACTACTATTTGTGTTAGCTCCGCTTAAATATGATTGCAATATTAAAAAACATGTTGTGAAAAACGAAACCAAATTTTCATCATCCATACTAATGCAATGCCTTTCATTTCTGGTGTCAAATATACCTAAAAAGTGAAAACATAGTATGGAGAATCAGATGCACGAGCTTCCTTTAATGGATATGGAACTTCGTTGATCATTCAAGTTGCTTCTCATTCTTTGACTTCCAAATTGTTTCTGAGCACAGAGAATTTAGAAAATTTATTGTTACGGTCTTGGTACATAATTGTTTTACAACAACTATCCCACATGTGTATCTAGGGGTGGCCAAACTGGATTTTGGATTAGATTTCTTAGGTTTTGGATTGAATTTGGATTATTTAGATTAAGAATTATTGTACCAAATTCAATCCAATTAAAAT